ACGACTTCATTAAAGTTAATTTCATTCAATTTCACTTGCAATCAGCAGAAGAAATCAACGAAAAAACTTAAATGAATTAATAAATGTAATGAAATGCTGTCAGACATGGCCCATTTGGTCCACAATCGACTCGTCAGTGGCATTTCTTTGGCTCTGCACCCACTCTCTAATTGCACAATATGGTCGGCAGTCAAGTCCAGTAATCAACTCGACTGCTGAGTCACAGCTGGGTAGGCTTTTTCTCTTTTTGTTTCTCGTTACTTTTCGAAGTTTGGAGTTGCCTCCACAAAATAAATGAGTAATCAAGCGTGTGCAGAGCATTAAAAACATGTCCAGTTAATATAAATGATTCAAAAGAGTATGTCTTTGCCAGGGCTGCATCAAAAATATGTCCTTAGCTTTCACATCTTTCGGACAGACGAACAGCTTGTTGCAGAGTATACACATTTTGCTTAAATGTGCTTAAAGACCTTAATCAATGATTAAAAAATCTTGAAGTATTGCCACCCATTCGAAATCAAGTCGAAGCATTGCCGCATTGTCTGACAACCCACGAAAGTCTCGTAGAAATATGCATTTTTAAATGGCAGGTAGCAGTTTCATTTTTCTCTCTCATACTCTTGCAATTTTTGGGCACAACAGGTCTTGGGAATTAGCAACAGCAACAACAACTGCGATGACGACGACAAACTCAATTGGGCGTTTCGTAGTATTTGTTGGTGGGCAGCACGCGCCCAAGACAGTCTCAATAATTGTGCCGTATACGTAATATTATGTAATCATTGTCTCACTCTGATCTGACACTGCACATTTGCTAATTTGTTAATATTCTTATGCATGAAAATCATGTATATTAGATGCACTTAATACTTTTCACACAACATTAGGCATTCGTGTGGGCTTTAATTAAAATCTTAGATAATAGCAATTAGTCGAGTGTATGCTGAAAGATTTCAATTGCCTTAAAAGGTAATCCATGCAGCCTTAAAGATGAAATAAATTAAAGATTATAACTAATGGCTTTTGCTTTTATTTAAAAGAGAGTTGGCCTTTCTATTTAGAAGATACCAGTTTGTTAATTAAGGGATTTGTAGTGTTATTAGAGCAGGAAGTGTTTTTTTTATAAATTCATTTAAAATCTGTAATATGAAAATTAAAATATATTGAGAAATAAAAGCAAATATTAGAAATTACAATATTTTAAATGTTGTTATTAAATTAAATCCTCACCCTATAACTAAAAAAAGCCTTAAAACTTTTAAACTATTTTGTGGTAAATAAATTACAATATTCTAGAATTCTTTTTATGTTTCGAGTACTGAAAACTATTTTAATTCTTCAATTTGAAAATTTAAGTTTCAAATTAAAGAAAATATTGGAAATTCAAATATTTCAAATGTTATTAAATAAATTGCTCACTCTGTAACTAAAAGCGTTTCAACTAACTTTTAAACTATTTTGTAGTAAATAAATTACAATATTCTAGCGTTCTATCTTGTTTTTAGATAATTTAAAAAAAATTTTGTTTAAAATCCTTAAAATCCTTACTGACTTCCAACAAAAATAAAGAAATAAAGAATTAAAAAAAATTATGGAACATGCGGAAGAAATATCAAGATACTTTAATTAAAATTTTGTTGTACTAAAACTAACTAACTAACTATTTTAATTCTGTTTTAAATACATTGTTTTACTCCATGACTACATAAAGCTTTTTAACTTACTTTTAATCTTTTTCTTATGAATAAATTAGAATATTCTGGAATTATTGGAAAGTTTTGAGCACCCTTTCTGTGCAAGAACTATTTTAATTCTTACTGTGTTTTAAATAATGACAGAAAGTTGCGAATACCAATCAGTACTCATGACGTGAGCCAATTAGTTTTCGTTTTTGTGCCGAAGGTGTGATTAGCGAAGTAATCAATATTCCAGTCTGGTGTCAAAGCCGGCAAGGTGTAAACTTGTCTTAATTAAACCCAGAGGAAAGACTCTATTACGAAGCAGAACTGTGTATACATAAATATATTTATATGCAAATAAATTAAATAGACGACTAATTACAAGAGGAGACACAGACGCCGCAATCCTCCCCATCATGCTAATCTCCAAAGTCTGCCAGTCAGGCAGTCATGTGCCAAGATTCTTGGGGCAAAAGTGTAAGTGATAATTAGAGAAACAGACAGACATGAATCAGCAGCAATAGCAATAGCAGGCAGCAAGCAGCTGTCGCTGTGGCTACATGGAAGTTTTGTAAAATGCTTAAATACAACAACAACGATGGCGATGATTAAAATTTAATTACAGCTTTTAAGCAGGCGATTTCACTTTTTTAATGCAGCCATGCCGACTGGCCGACAACAAACAAACATTCGATAGCTATTTAGACTTGACCTAGTTACTACCTACAGGCAGGAAAAAAATTATACGAAACGAGACGAAAACATACCTAAATAGTTTTAGAACGCAGCGACCACAACGCTATAAACATAATTTGAAAATTGAAATTGTTGTACAAGTAGTGCGAGTTTCATATTTTTAGTTACTCATCAGTGTACGCCCTCATGCGTGTATCTGATGGATTTGCAGGTGGGACGGCCGCTGCTGAAAGAAGCCAAGAGCGTGCCGACGCCGCCGACCAAGACCCAAATTTTTTAGCAACGACAAAGGAAAATTTCAATTTGTTGCTTGATGCTAAACTTGGAACGAGATATTGAATGACTGCCACGCGTGGCTTCAATTACAAAAGACTGCCAAAGGTCTTAATGACAATTAAAAAACAAGTACATACATACGAGTATAACAACCAACAAAAGCAAATGCGACAAACGTGTTTAGAGCGAGTAACAAAAACGCTTTTGCAACCGATAACAAAGCAGGGACATTCGAATATAGTGTGCAGTAAGCGATACATCAAGTTAGACAAAACAGACGACTACAAACGCTAATTCAGCGAGTGATTAAAGTGCCATTCAAATAGGGTTACATTAAAATACGGCAATATCGATATTATAACGGTTTTTAAAAGCGAAATTTAATTTAAAAAACTACTTGTATATATTTATTTGATGTTTTTCCTGTTATCGGTATTGAAACTTTCCTTTCCTTTCGTTACACATCCCTACATTGAATTTCGTATTTACTTAAATTTCGCTTTTTAATATCACTACATTTAAGTATGTACTATTAATCTATCGATAATCGAATATTAGGATTCGAATACTATGGGTGGTAATTGAATAAGCGAATAATACGAAGATATACATTCCCATATCGATATCACTACATTTAAGTACTATTAATCTATCGATAATCGAATATTATGATTCATATAGTATGTGTGGTAATTGAATAAGCGAATAATACAAAGAAATACTTTCCAATGCACTACAGAGTAATAAAGTGCCTATAAAATATTAAGTGTGGTAATTGAGAATGAATATTGAATATTAATTCAAATATTCGGAGTGCTTCTATTAAAAAAAGTTTGATATTTAAGTATTACAATCAAACATAATACATCAATTTAGCAACTAGACCCATGTAGCTATCATATTAGACCAACCAAATGCTAAGTATTCGAGTGATATCGATAATGGTATTAGAATATATGGAGTGCTCGACAATATTTTAGAGTTCCTGTAGATTAAAGAATCTTAAAATCGAATACTATACAGCATGCAAGTATTAATTAAGATCATTGTAAATTATGAATAGAATAATATTAAGTAATAAATAAATAACTACAATCGATTGCAAATTCTAAATTGACAGTAAAATATTGACTGTGATAGTCGAGAATGGTAATTGTATATATGGAGTGCTTGATTTTTTAGAATTTCAATTAAATACAAGATATGCATTTGAAATCAATTTTTTATTTCATATAAATAATTTAATAATATGCATTTAATTATATCAAACAAGACATAAGTAATAATATTAATATATTTTAATAGTCAGTTTATGAATTAGGCCAATGCATATATCGAATGTGTTATCGAATTGCGACAGTTATTAAATGTTGAATGGATGAAAATTTGAGTATCCAATGGTTTTGGCAAGCGGCAATGAAATAGCAAGCACCTGCATGTATGTATCGGAGCATATCTAGCGAGTTCAATGATAACTGTTTTCATTATTCCATTTTCATTATTTCATTATGTTTGTAGTGCGGGTAGTTTTCCACAATGTTGTGACCTTGAAATTGTGAATTTAAGAAACGGCACAAACACTGCCCACCAATGCATGCACTTGACAACGATGTGGAAGTACGAGTACAAACATGAAAGCCAGCCACCCACAAAAAATGTAGCTTTGAACCGTTTTGAAGGTCGCCTGCCAAAGCAAAGGCGAAACACATGGCGCACTATTGGCAAATTTTTGATTTTTTGACAGTCCCCCCCTCCCCCCGACAAGCTCTCTTTGATATTTTGACAAACGTCATCATTGACGAGTGGACTGCTGCTCTGATCATGAGCAGAGCAGAGACACAGCTATCATATCATCTGGCAGCTGATTGTTGTCTATTGTTTCCGAGCGGTTTACATTGAGCCATAAAGATGTGTGGGCGTTACGAAACCGCTGCGTTGTCTTTCATTAGCAGCATGGAAAAATCAGGCCTGGGTCTTTGTGTTTAGCATTGAGATTGATTTAATTATGTTATGTTTTAACTTTTTATGCCAAGTATTCTCTTTGTGTGTCAATTTGCTTTTGTAATTAAATAATTTTTTCAATCTACTATAATATAGGCTAATCAATTTCAATTGAAGGTGTCAAGTTTCAACACAAGAGCTTGTCATGAATGAAGGGTCAGCGTGAAAATTGAAATTATATTTTGTAGTGAGGATATAGAACTAGCAACAATTGGAAAAGTAGTTAATGTACTTTTCCAATCTTCCAATTATTTATAATGGAACTCAACTACAAAGTACATACCATTTGTAGTTAAACGCCTTAACCAACAGTTCGAATAATATTGCGATCTAAAGATATTGACTCACCGAAACTGCAAATAGAAAAATATAAATGAAATCATTAATATACTTGCATGATTAGTTTCCAACTAATCGTAAGATTAAAGTACAATAGGAAATACCACACTGTTTACGTTCATAAGCAATTATTTGCTTGCTTAATCAAAAATAAGTTCATTTGAGAGAAACGAAATGCTTTGAAAATAAATTAAATAGAACAAATTTACAATTTAAATATTTTTAAATGCATAAAATATCTTTATTTTGAAATATTTTATAAGGCACCAGTTTTTTTTTTAGAAAACTGGGGAATTCATCTAAAAATGTTTGTATAAAATGAAAGAAAGGGTTAAAAGAGACGTGGTTCTGCTTGGGACAGATTATATTATATAGATAAATACTACCCCAAAGAACAATGTTAGGATAGGCTAAGTTATTGAGATATTTTGAAATTTAGTTTATAATTGTATTTCAAAGAATTATTGTAAAAATATTACTTTTGCAACCAGTTACATGTCTCTTTCAGAAATAATACTAAATTATCAATAACTCGCTTTAATTCTTTATAATAAATAAATGTATAATAATTAATATTTAAGCCAAATTGCAGTTTTCTGGCACGTATTGTCTCAATAGCCCCCAAAGGGTTAAGATTAATTAAAAGAGCAGCAAGCAGTGGACAAAGCATGAAAACTGCTTGACACTGCTTTTCTTTTGTTCTCATCCCAGAGCTTTGAGCTTGTTCTTCATCTCTTATATCTATATCTACTCATCCTGATCCAGAATATATATACTTTAATTTAATTACTTTCACTCTTTAGGCATTTCATAAATTCAAGCAATTTCTACAAAAGTACATTTTAAAGAATTGGAAACAATTGCAAATTAGTTAATGCGATTAATAAATGTCGGCTATCAACGCGAACAGATTTATATCTCTCTCAATTTGTATATCTACATATCTACTTAATTGCTGTCGGTCCACACGTTTCATCCTAAACAACAGCCGAGCAATTAACGAAACTTCTCCCTACATTGAAATGTTGTTCATTAAAATAACATGCAGAGTTTAGTGGTTGAGAACTCTTCCATATCGGGATCATTTATCTAAACAAACTTGTTCAAATGCTCACTCGTATGTAAATTAGTGATATCAGTTTGCTAATCTAATCAATATACATAAACTATAGAATGTGTTAGTTCTCATTAGCTTTAATTAAACATGCCTTCTACTTGTATATTTCTTTCAAAACATTTTGCATTTTTTTGCCACTTCTTATCTGAACTGATAAGTTAAATGTGCGTCTACCATATCTGTGGCCTAACAAGGTCTATGGCGATAATATCTAATGACAATTACACTTCCGCCAATACAAATACTACTTACTACTCGATATATCAGCTCATATTCTGCTTGAGTTAGATCAAGAAACCCTACAACTACTGCCAGGCAAATGTAAACACACACCTGTACGTAGAAACAAATGCAAATAGTATATGTTTATACGTCAATATGTCTACTTATTTATGTGAGCACGAACTTATCAGTCTAAGCACTGCCAGCAGCTGTGACGCACATGGACAGCACTCGGACTGTGGTAGTAGTATATCGTAGCCTTTCCATTCTAAAATTAACAATACTGTTGAAAAGAAAACGAAACAAAACAAAAAATCTCTCTTAGATTGCTTGAGAGTTTCTCATAGCGGCCCAACTCGCTATAAATTTCTCAATGTCGCTTGGCAACTGATTATTATTTTGATTGTGTTTGCGAGCAGCAAAAAAAAGAGCACAAAAAAAAAACAAAGCCCGGCAGGTCGACCCCCTCCCCCAACCAACCCACACATACCGCCCAGCTCCAAAGCGCCGTCTAGTAATTTGCGTATCAATCAGCTGTGAATTTATGTTTATATTTAATTATGAATAGGAAGCCGTGTACGCGTATTTCGCGGGTGCAGCTACACCTGTTTCGCGCAGCTCGAATCTGTAAGATTCATCCGCTGTTTCGCTTGAATTATAAATTTGTCATCTTATTTGGTAAAAATATTAACCCGTTTAGCGGCATTTCTGGCTCTGCGGTGCTTTCCCAACACTTTGGCGCCATTATTATTCAATGTTTTTGTGTGTCATGCCATTGATAATATTTATTCATTTGAATCTTTGTCAATCTGTGACGTAACAACTAAGTGATTTCGCTGCCTTGCTAAATTTCCACGTGCCCCTTATCAGCAGAAACACTACAGTTTCCTTGGTTGCCAATAGGACTGACTGATAAGGCGACTTTCACGTTAATACATGTTTGTTATCTAAACGCCTCATATCAATTCTGTATACATATATCTTTTATTGCAAAGTTAAGGACTTTGCCACTTGTGTACAAGTACAATTTTTTACAAGGTTTGTGTTTTTTTTTTTTGTTGTCAATGACATGCATGTCATTATACAATTAGTGCTCGAATGGGGGATTATGGGAATAAGTTGAAAAATGCGGTTCTGATATGACAAGAGAGAAATAATTGGAAATAATTTCCAAATCTTATTAACAATTAAATGCAGGCCTAGCGGTAGTAGAAAATCTGTTCGCAAATAAAAAAAACAAGTATTTATTAATACTAAATTTATTAAATAATTATTTGTAGTCACTGTAAAAATACTAAATTCTACGTAAATTAAATGAGAAATAACTAACATTTATTATCGACAAATATATGTAACCAAAAGATGCAATAATCTCTAAACAATTTGTAAAAATTTTACCATTCGGAATCGGAATTGCAAAGCAGAATCAAAACAAGGCTCAGTTGAAATGTCAATTCAGTTAAATAATTGGAAGGGATTTCACAATCCTATTAACATTTAAATGCAGAACTAGCGAGAAAATCAGTAAATCAGTTCATAATTCTCTAAGAAAATAAGTCATTTATTCAGTTGATTTTTTTGTAAATTAAATGAGAAATATATATAACAAATATATAACATATATATGTTATCAAAATTTGAAGATTTGGAATCACAATTGCAAGAATAGGCACTTAGATTAATATTGAGAAGATTGTAGACCGAATAAGCTTATCAGTCGTCGATAAACTTATCGATAAGCCATCTATCTTCAAGCAGCGCTGGTTTAACAACTTTCTTAGCATTTGTGCAGAGCTCTAGTTATATGTACATATCATCCAAATTGATGTTGAAACATCTTTTCTGACCTACATAGAAGAGAAGTTTAAAGTTCATAGTCTTTATATTTCCCGGCTATTCACGCAGAAGCCATTAACGAGAGAGCCATTGGTCTACTCTATTGTTGTCTTCTAGACCCGCACATTGCGAAAATTTATAGTAGTGGTATGCATTTTTTTTTTGTTTTTTTTTTAGTTGTTGCTTTTTTTGCATATGCAAATTTTTATTGCGCCCCTGGGAGCCAGTTAACGGCTCTTTGGTGCTTATTTGGACACGCGCAGCTCTACCAAGAGCTAAAATATATAGATATATGTGTATATGAGTGGACGCAAGCCCGCTGGTTAAAAAGTTCCTCAACTTTTTCTCTTCATTCAGATACAAACACTTTTTGGGAAACACTTAACAAATAAATAAATACAAATACTTATGAAGAACAAAATAGTTTTTAGAAGAAGCTGAACTTTTCTGAGCATATAATGAACTGGGTTACGCTTTTTATGATGCTTCAGTTGCGAGAGAGCGTCCCGAGGCATAAACTATGCAAATAGAGAAAAGTGCGTGGGCATCAAGTAAGAATCAAGAAAGCAACTACACCTTAGGGCATGCTAATTGTGCCACTATGAGGGCCACAATTTTCATTTGAATTTCTGAACAGGCAACACACATTTCATGTTTCATTCCAGCCTAAGGAATTTCAAAGTCATTTTCTTCACTTGTATTATGCAAATGTTTATTAATATTAAATTGCACAGCTGCCAAGTGTGTGCGTTGTGTGTAAATACAACATATTAAGTTTGTTTTATCTCGAAGAAATGCAAAAATGATGAGAAACTCATTTGACAATGGCATTCGTTTTATATTAGGATTAGCTACAAATTACAAATCAAGAGCTTTTTGTGGTTCTTTTTTGTGTGACACAATGGAGACATTCTTTAAATAATAAAATCAGCTTCAATAACTTTATTTATCCAATCGTGCACCTTCTCTCTATCTCTCTCTCTTCCTCTCTCATTCTCGTAGTAAGCTCCTTTTTATTTATCTGAAACTTTGATCTTTTGAAATTCAAAGGAATCTTCTGACAAATTCTCCAGCATCTTAAAAGCTGATTTTATCGAGCGTTTTGTTTAGTTTCTCAAAGTAACTTAGCTGACATCGTCATCAGAAGGTCTTAATTAGTTTACTTTTAAGGTGTTAATACTTCCGCAATATTATAGTGTTTATTAAATGGAATTTGCAGCGACGCAGGAGGCCTCACAACACCTATTGCATATCCTTGTAGGTAGGAGATCGATTCGTGCTGACAGCAAATCAGCGCTTAGGCACTCGATTCGAACTCTGGAATCATTACTGAATTTAATGGATCTCTTAACGAGACTTTTTAAGACTTTTTTTAAAGAACTTCTAAGACTTCTGCAGAAGGAGCAGATATAAGTGAAGCTCTTAACAGACTCAGGTTTACTGTCATACGCAATCTTTCCTAGGCGGTATTATAAAAAAAAACCAGCTAAGTTCATTGGAAACTTCATCCATGAAGGACCAATAAAAACAAAGGATAATCAAAGGGGAAAAATGGGATAAGAAATCTACCAAACCCAAACTAAGCTTAGAGACAATAAACTTTTCATGAACATTCTTCTGTCTTCTAGGCAGATGAAGTTTGTTTTAAATCTTGCAATTGTATAGATAAAACTGATAGAAAAATGTTTCAAAAGTATGCAGCTAAAAATATCATTTATTTAAATTTGAAAATTGCAATTTCTTTAAATTGAAACACAATTTTAAAAGTACTTTCTTGATTCTCAGAAAAATTAAGAGAAATGGAAAGCTGAGCGCACAATACAAATAAAAACAAACGAAATTAACAAATAAGCATAAACCGTAAACAAATGCAAAATTCGCATTGATTGGCAAGCCCCGAGGGTATACCAATCAGAGAAACAAATGTAGAATAAAAGTTTCACTGCCAACGATGCAAATATTTTCTGCAGCTACTCTGCCATATCTTTCCATCAGTATTTGTATCTGTGTGTGTGTGTGTGTGTATCTCAAGTAACAAGAGTTGGTTTTGTGCTTTGTTTTAGTTTTCGGCATGCTGCTGGTTTTTTTTTTCTTATCGATTTTCTCGTTCGAACTCACAGCTCTCTTCACTTTTATATACATATTTATTTTTTTTATCTATGCTCATGCTAGCTGATTTTAATCTTCATTAGCCATTTCCTAGACTAGACCACTTTGTTGCCGCTGCTGCTGCGGCTGCTGGGGCTGCTCATTAAAAAACTATGCCAGAAATTGGTTTTCGGTTTAGTTCGCTTTTTTATTTTGTTTTTGCTCACGTCTTTATTCTGTTTCTCTCGCTTGATTGCTCTCCCTTTATTGATTGTTCTTTAAATATGTTGACGTCGAGGAAACTTTGCTGATATACTCAAAGCTAAATTAAAAGGACAATAACAACAACAGCAACAAAGCAGCTTATACAAATGATTCAGCCAAATTGTTGGCTTTTCCTTATTAATGTTGCAGGTAAGCCAAAAAGATGAATTTCCAGGAAATTCTATTGGCATTGAATTTTGTTTCCTTTTAATTAAAATTAGAATGCAATGAAATGAAAACAATATAGTTTGCTGAATCTTTGTGGCAATTAGTTGTGTAAAAGTAACATAAATATGCAATTGTTTTTGATTTAATCTAGATTTTTTCTTCTATGTTTTGATTTTTATTGGAATTTTCGATTTTTGCTATACTATATTCATCGGTATTTCTAATATCGCTATGACATATGCAGCGCCACCAGGCAGTTCATAACTTTAAGAAAACTTACGAAAACTATAAATAAACTATAACAAGCTATAATTCAATACAACAACAAAGTAAGATGTAAGAAATGTACACCATCGGGAAATGTTTAATTAGTTTTGTTAAAATAACAATTAGTTTAACTTTTCAGGTAGCTGAAGAACAAAAGCACCAACAAGAGCTTAATAAATTTTATTTAACACAAAGTTGAAGAAAAGTAATCAAATGAATTTCAAAACAAACTGTTTTAAATGTATATTTTATATGTTTTTAACTTAAAATTGTATGTGAAAAATCCATTTTGAAAACATTGCACTATTTATGAAAACACTATGCAGTGATGGCAAATTTCCAGATACTGCATACATATATAGAGGCATCGATTATAGTCTTGGCGATTTTTCTTAATTTGTTCATTTTCGACTCCCACCTCTACTATAAGACTGTAATTTTTCCTTTTAAATATAAACGTTTTCTTTTAATCTAAAGGTCAAAAGGTGTCTAGAAGAAAAATTCATAAATCATCGTCTTTAATTTTACATTTTAACGTAAAGATTTTATTTCGTTCTGTAGAAGGAAAATTATTCGAGCAATGGCAGTTATAGAAATAATCTTTCTCTGCTTTTATCTGAAGACTACAAGTGTTTGAAATTCTTTACAGGGCAATGACATTACTGTGTATTTGTGTGAAAATGTTTAAAATTACTTTTCTGCTGTTTTGTTATAGCTTCATCAATATAATCTTTCCCACTTCATAGACCTATGGCTTCCTTAATCTCTGAGAACTAGTAGCTGTTCGGTTTTTTATGCCCCCCACGAACTCAACTCAGGCAGTCAGGAGGACAAATTTTGCCATTTCATTCAACGTTTCATTCTAATCACAAGTTTTGCAAAATACTTTTCAATATTATATGTTTATACCTTATCTGCCGCATTCTGTTTAGATTATTAGGCGCCAGTGCTATCAACAGCATTTTATTTCTCTTAATAATTTGTTTACAAACAAATTTGCTCGTATAGCCGCTTCGATTTATATACAACATCAATTTGTTCTAAGGTGTGATATAATATGTACATTTATACAATCGTGCAATATAATATACGTAATTAAAAGCGCCTCGCAACAATACACAGAAGCGTATTTACTGAAAGAGTCATTGTACCCGGCCGTGTGCGAACGCAGAGAAATTTCAAATTGTTTATAATCAGCTGTTTTTTATTTGGATCTTTTTTTGTTGTATGCCTTTCGAGTTTTGTTTTATTTAAAAATGTGGCAGAGATACACATTTTGTTTCTTAAATCGTTTGAACCTTTATAAATATTTAGAGCTTGCTTTAAAGACACTGCAAAAATATGTTGAACAAAATTCGAAAATAAAATGAAGTCAGAAGATAATTGCAGACAGTTTGTATACATTTATGAAGTTATTAATAAGTCGTTTAATACTTGTTACTGCATTTGTAAACTCCAGTCCAAATCGAATTAATTAATTAATTTATTTGTTTATTAATTCCTAGAAGATTTCTTATAAATTAATGTACTAGTCACAATATATCAACTAAAACAATTTCAGATACATAATCTTGAATGGAAATTATTTGCTCTACATTTGGCGTTCTGTTCTTGGAAATTTCTTTGCTTCATAGGTCAACCAACATTAGCTTTTTACGGCCATAGTTTTTTAATGCAATTTACGATTAGTATAGAACTAATATCATAAAATTTAGCTCATATAAAAATTATGTGTATCGATTTACTCATTATTTTTCATTGGACTGAATCCTCGAAGCAAATATTATATGGAATGTTTTAAAAAGCTATTGAATACCATAAATCTAGTTGGAAAACACAAATAAGTTCTCTTTCTGATCATTTTATTTTGCATAAAAGATAAACAATCCTTTTCAAAAAATCTCTCCAATAAAGAACTTTTCAAAGCATTCTCTTCAAACTTGAAAAAGGCGATTTTAAAAGATTGGATGATTATTCGTCGATTTCCTTGAAATCTAATAGTTGTAACTTCACCATAAAAATCAAAAAATATATTTGAATCTAATAAATCACTCTTTTGATAAGGGTTCAATATGTTGGGTATTCTAGCTTTATTAAATACTTATGTATTTCAATGTATGAACAATTAGGCCCACTAAACACTTCTAAAATGAAATAATTCAGATTAAAAGCCAAACTCAAAAGTTGTATTTATTTTTCATTTTCAAGCTACCATGCATATACATATGTGAAATTTTATTTGATATATTTATTTATATGAACATACATATGTATTCTTATCAAAGGCCCTCCAATGTATATAATATGCTGTACTTGACGAAAATGCATCTTATACCTTTGTTATATGCACTCAGTCGCATTTGAAAAGGACTTTTATACTTTTCCTGCCCACACTTCACACACACACACATACGCATGCACACAGAAATATACAGAAATTGTTGTTGGCTGCTGCACAACTCCCCTTGTAACGAGTCTGTTAACTATGCAGAACTCTCTCGCCGCGCTCTCAGTTCATAAACAAAAATAAGAGCAACAACAACAACAACAGCAATAGCAGGCAAACTTCGCTTTGGGAGTACCAAACGCTTTGTTGTTGTTTTTGTTGTTATTATTGTTGGTGGATGCTGCAGGCAGAATCAACACAGACCAGACTCAATTTTTAGGCTTGTGTGTATACCTTTATGACAAGCGCTTAATCGTAAAAAATTAAAAAGAAATTAAACTCCGTTCGTACCTTTTTATGAATTCTGCTAATAAATTGATTTATTAGTAGTTTTTGTGACTGCTGCTTGCTTACAGACGGTTTTGTTTATGCGTGCATTATTTTGCAATAAATAATTTGGCGTTTAGTACACAAATCTCACGTTGCACACAATTTGTTGTTAATCACGTTTAGTAACTATTTGCAATACAATATTTTTATATTTGTTGATTATTAGATTTAATTAAATTATATTTAATTCAAATTATTGCTTTCTACTGCTCTTCCAACGTTTTATTATTATTTTCTTTTTTCATTCAAAAAATTGTTAGCGCGTCGTCGTGTTGCTTTTATTTTACCGTAATATTTTTTCGTTATTTTTTTATATTTTAGAAATTTCACTTTAAACTTTTTGCTGTATTTTTGTGGTGTGTCGCGCAGTCGAAGACCCGATTTTGAAAAGAACACAGCGGCGCTTGCACTTCGCTGCTGCTGCTGCTTTTCACAATTGAAATCAACAATCAACGAACAAACAAAAAACCTTTGACAATTTAAAAGGAAATTCTATATAAAAACGAACTCCGCTCCCACAACCGCTCAGCGCGAACAAATTTTCTGAACTGAACTGAAATTTGAATGGCACAATAGCGCAGGCCGGAGTCTATACGTTCGCGCATAAGCAGCTGCATGCAAAGAAAACCAGAAAGTAAAAACAGTACGGCAGCAACAACAACAGCGGAAAGTACAGCTCAAGCAAAGGCAACAGCAACAACAACGCATACACGCAGTAAACACAATTGAGAGCGTCGCCGATAAAAGTTGAGAGCAACATGCTCTGAGAGTGACGGCAAAACGCACAAAGTAAAACGCAGCAATAGCAACAAGAACAGGCACAAACACAGTGCGAGCACAGAATCTGGCAACTAACATAATCGACTGAGAGCGAATAGGCAGACAGAAGCAAGTATTGGGGGAGAGTAAGTGATATGCGTATCTTTAGTCAAGTCAATTTAAAAGGCAGTCTTGAATGTAGTTTCATTTAGTTTTTGAGTCTGCCAAAGCCCTAATTGCCAATTATCGATGGTTAAATTAGCATAGCTTTGCAAACTAGTCGCGAACTTTAAATACTCGTATACATTTAAAATATATATTTATATAATATTATTTAATTTTTTAAATTTTATTTGACGACTACATAATACATACTCTACTATACGAGTATTTGTCGAAAACGAAAAGACTGTTGTATTGTTAACCATAATCATTAATTAATTATATTGATTTTGTATTTCTCTATTTATGTTTTTTTGAATAATCAGAAACTTTTCTCCATTGATTAAAGTTGTTAGTTAGTTAGTTATTCGAAAAAATGAACAATTTCCCGTTAGTAAAGTGGGCATTGCTTTAATTGCATCACAACCAAAGTTGATTGTAAATTTGATTAATGTGTCCAGTTCATATATGGGAACATTCATTCATATTATTAATTGTACAATAAAAGTAAGCCAATGTTAAGCACAAAATGCACCCTTAAAATGCATAACATCATAAACCGATGTATTTATAGTATGTGTAAACAAACCATAACAAAACACCACATTAAAAATACATTACAATCCAGATCAATCATGTTGCATGCAACAGCTCTGGCGGTGGTGGTGGTGCATTGAAAGCCACCCTCATTAAATTACCTCAAAGTAATATGAAACACTTCAAACATGCGTAATGATCATTAGAAATGGGCCCGCATGTCCGATTCCAATTGAAACACAAACATACATAAGTGTGTATACATTAAAATTGGCATTCATTTTTACCCTCGAGGCGGTGACATATTAGACTAACTACTTTAATTGATCAGTCTGCCCTTCAACAGTCTGGCAGCACTTCAAGCGCCACCTTGATTAGCTTTAGCTCCAAAAACAAATGCAAAACATTTCTCTTTCACACGTGCTTTAGTTTTTTGCGCTGCCATGCGCTCTCTCACTTGTCAGTAGCTGCGGCTGGAGCGTCAAAACACAAAAGCAAACAATGACAAACAAGAGAGAGAAAAGCCAAAGAAAAACACGCTCAACTCTCATGGCTGAAGCAATTTTAACAGCGCCGCATGTGGTAACTTTAACAGTGCACTGTTAAATAACAGTGTTGACTTATAAAGTGTCGGCACAAAACTGCTGATTATCTCCCCCCAGCCCATTCCACATGATAATTGTTCAAATAAATGATGGAAAAACTAAAATTGCTATCAAGCAGAGGTTAAGACTGTTTAAACAGAGTGAAGCAACAATTTCGCAAGATAACAATAAATGGATGGCTTTATCCCTGACCGATTATTAGATAAGGTAATAAATTGATTAATGATTGATAAATATTTTCCGGGTTACACGTCTGGCTCTGATTGTGGAAATCCATTTTCAATACTTCACAATAATTAACGAGCGGAACAAAACAATCTAGCAGTTAAGAAACCCTCCTTCTTATCAAGAGCTTGAATAACAATAACGAATTGCTTATCAATTACAACATGCGGACAACAATAGCATGAATGAGAAAAGCAAAAACTTCAAGTACCGTAAATCGAAAAGCAGGAAACAAGAAAAAGAAGCTAAATTTGAAATAAAATCCGCAGCTCTGAGAAGAAATTTAAATGCGAAAACTATAGATTAAAATCATTTAACAGAAACTGGAATTAAACTCGCATAAGCCGAAGAAGACTAGTTTTGAAGTGCAATTTTTAAATTTAATTTCCAATTACTTTAATTACCAACAGCGTTTCTAAAGTGAACGTGGTAACTTGCTTTTAAAATGTATTAAGCCTTGCTCTTTTATGAAAGTCCAGCCCAGTCCAACTAATAATTTAAGGCTAACTAACTCAATGGAGAAAAGAAACAAATTTACAACTTTGGAAAAAGAAAACGCACACACTTAGCTCTCAGAAATAAATCGATTGCAAATGTATATGAAATCGGTCGTTATAATAATAATAGGATCTTTCGTCAATATTAAATATATAATTTACTATATCTGCTTTCGTTTAGGTCCTTCGAAATGAACTATTATGTGCATTCCAATACCTCTTTGTTTTGTTTCCTTTGTAACTTCAATAGCGCTACGACCTTTCTTCCAATAATTAACTTTCCCAGATTTAAGTGCTTAGCTCATTGCTTCCCAGTAATTATCTAGACTTAATAGAGGCTAACATCTTAGACAATGTAACATTGACCCTAAGACATAATAATAACGATAGAATGACCTTAAACCTACTAAACAATTGATTAAGAACTGCCGAATTATTCATAGCTCTACCTAGCAAGTCCGAGAGGAATATTTCCTGCAACCAAAAAACACTTCCGCCATTCAGTATAGAAGAACAAATTTAATATTTTAACTTTTCACTGAATTAACCGATTTGAAAGAAAGATTAATTGCTCTACCAGTAGCTTTGGAATGGTGTACAGTATTAAAGAAATCATTTATTGGCGAAGGCGTTAAATATAACACAAAAGTTAGGGCCATTCTGACCTGAGTCATTTCTAAAATCCAGGTGTTCATCCAGACAGACAGGCAAGCGGATAGGCGACCATCAAGCTTAACAATGGATGCCCTTACATGCCCAAAAACTACCTTAAAATTGAGGACAAATTGCCAATAAAAACACACCCTACATTTTCAGGTAGTGTATTGGCTTTTAGGTGCTTTAATACCAAAACCATTTTGGCAATAAAACGGAAACATTTAGGTAATGTATTGCCTTAATTTGTGGGTACTTTATTAAGCAAAGTTTTGGAACTATATTGGCAATATTCTTGGGAACTTTATTACCATTTATGAACTAAATATAAAACATTTCTAATAATGGTTAACGTAGCAGTTCAAAATCTATGAATATTAATTAGGCAGTCTGCCAGGCTAAGGTTCCAGAGTATTTATAGTAGTAGTAGTTATTTAGCCAATTATGGAATTAAATTTTGGATCAGCATTAGTAAGTTGATATGTATCTTAGAGCAATATAGTCAAGTATCTTAAAGTATAACCCAATTAGCACGCAAACTAATGACAATTAAAGTAAACCTACAAAAGACAAAGATATATAAACTTCCAGCAGAATCGAGCAAACAACATCAAACAGATATTCCAGATAATATAAAAATCTGCCCGAGAAAAAGGCTGACGTTCTGAAATACACAAGGATGTTATAACTTTTAAACAACTTAGTCATAATTCTTTCTGAAATTGAAGTGCTGCTCATCACACCATACTTTCCGAACATATTTTACATAAATATTTCAAATTATTTAATGATTTTATAAATGATTGTTGACATATTTTGAAGGTTCCAATAACTCAAAGATTTTCTCGATAATTTGTCATTTAGCTTAACACCCACATACCAATACATTTGTATACCTCCATATAAGTATATATTTAGCTGATTTCAAGTCAAATCCCTGGCTAGTAAAGCCAACAAAAAGAAACAAGCACAACAACCAGTTACAACTTCCATTAAAGCCAAGGCCCTCGACAGTTTTTACGACAGGAAGAAATCCATCAACACAATTCTTCTGATGTCTTTTGGCCAACTAAAAGTTTTTCCAGCCATACAAGCAACAAAACAAAACAAAAAAATATACATATATGTAGTATGTGTTTAAAAAAAAGTTGCATTTACACTCGCTTTCTTTACAACTCATGATGGGCCCGCAGCGACGACCGATCGACCAGACAAGCGACCCTTTTACATTAGGAAGCCGAAGCCCGCCTCATCGCCACCTCCCCACCTCCCCGCCTCTGCGGCCAACACCCCGAGCGGCACATTTTACACTGTCACGGGAAATTGTTTGTTTAACATGCGCCGCGCGTTTAAAATTACATGATGAGCAACATTTATCAAAAATACAATAACAACAACAAAAACTGCAGCTGCAACAGCAACAACAACATAACGAAAAGTAATCAAAACATTACAGGCTACAGAAGAAGCTCTGAAAAAAAACGCGCACAAAAGAGCAGCAGACGCATAAATGGAAAGAAAAGAAAAAAAGAATCTAAAAACAAAAGACAGTCCAGAGTCAGTCAACACTACAGCACATTGTCTCTCCGATCGGTCGGTCGGTCGATCGGTCCTACGCAAGTTCTTATTTATTGTTTGTTTTCTTTTGATTATAATTTTAGCTGCATGTCTGCATGTCTGCTTGTCTGCTGGGGTCGTCTTGGGGTCTTCATCAAGCAATTCTCTTGATCATTGACGCTGCTGCTGCTGCTGCTGCTGCTTCGAGTTCGGTTCGACTCTCTTCATACTGTCTGGCGACCTATGCTGATTTCTTGGAAAAGAATTATGATATTGCAGCTTAATGTGCACTTGATGATTGCTCATGATTTGCGTAAAGTTCTGCTTCTTGTTGTCTGACCACCACCCACACAAAGCTAATGACTCGTCACTTAATTGGGCAGACCTGGGCGCGCATTTTAGATTTGAAGCAGCGAGAATGAATTGGGAATTTAAGCTAGAATGACATGCTAGGATCGTTGAAACACTGATCTCC